ATGCCTGATTTATGCTGCCATTTAGGTGGTATTAGAACAAACAAAAATATGAACTCAAACAAGTAAACATTTAGAAAGCGTTTTAAACATTTAAAAGTTTTAAAGTGCAGAAGAACGCTTGTAGCGCGTTACGGCCGCCCTGCGGAAGTTTCACTTGAACGCTCTAGACGCGTCACGGACGACGAAGAGGTTAAAGAGCGATTGAAGAGCTAGCAGCTCTAGTCACCAAGTGCAGGTGGTGACCAATTATCCTCTACACCCCATATCATACCGTCCTCCGGAGTGCTCTCCTTCAAAAGTAGGGCCGAATTTAGAACAGTCGTGATGTCACCAGTATGGAGCTCAAGGCTCTTGCCAACGAAAGATGCAGTCTTGTACTCCTTACCACAATAAATTTCGAGGGCTTGTTCTTTAGGTTAGATAAACGAGGTTAGTCACAACAACAACAACAAACCAAACCAAGAAATTTAGCGTGGGCAGATGGAACCGACGAACTTTTTTGTAGCTGTTTTTACAGTGAAATTTACACTGACACTGACTATGTTTTTACACTGACTATAAATACTTCAAGCCTAAAAGCCATGAAATCTGCATGATGTCGTCGAGTTTGTCATTTTCACATAAACTGCAGTATGAAATTCATTTTTTCAAAATGAGTCCGAATTTACTGGTGATTGAAAATCATGTGGTATAAAGGTTAAATTTACGAGTATATTACAACCTGCGGTGGAGAGTTGCTATGGATTGTAATGAGGAAGTATTAAAGTACATTTTTATTTATCAAAATGATAATGAATCTTTTTTCTTCATAACCTCATAATTTCTTTCAGTCACAGAAACAATTTCCTTCATAAACCAATACCTATTTCATGTTGCGTTGCAATTATTGGGACCATTAGTTCCATCATAGTTTTTACGGATTTCTTCTGATTCCTTTGAAAAAATATTCCAGAGAATTTCATTGGAATTATTGCCAGTATAGTCAATAAGCTGTTCAAAATTGTTTACCCTCAGACTTCGTATTTCATTCACAAAACTAAAAAAACATGCTTAGTTAATTCAGAAGTCAAACAACAAAAATAAGCGTTATATTTTCAAAATTTCACAGGACTAGTTTCGATGGTTTTACCGAACCACCATCCTCAGCTGCAAAACCGCAATGATTTTTTGTTGTTTGACTTCTGAATTAGTATTTATTCGGCGTGTTATTTTGTCTTAATTATGCTTAGTTAAAGTTAAACTTACCCAAACGCAAATGAAAAAAGTAATACCTTAGCATTTATGATGTCCATATATGTGTTCATGGTACCTTGAGTGAATTGTGAACCCATGTGTCTTTGTACAATATACATTAACCGTAGCATTAGAGATTGGGACACCTTTAAAACTCCCTAGCAAATTGAAACTGCAAACTATCTCAATTATAAGTATCAAATCGTGTAAGCATCGAATAACTAACAAAGGATTACACAATGAAATGCTAACAAAGGATGGAAATAGAAGGATACATGGTGGATGCCAACTGGAAAATGTTCTCTCATCTATGAGAAAAAGAATGTCTATCATAAAAAATTTCACGAACAATGATTCTTAGCTCATTAAAACATATTTTCTTTATTCTTCTGTCTAATATAGACATTCTTTGGCTTTCAACTGAATGTTACTCACATATATAGCAGATGTCTACGTGTAGCTCTATCCGTTGCTTGTATTGAAGAAGTTTCTTCCCAAAGCTGTATATTATATTTTGAGCTACTGTGTCTGTTATGTTTGCAGATTACAACAAAGTCTACTAACCCACTTATAAGAAATTATAAGATTTCTGGTTTCATGCTGTTTTCTTCTACGTAAAGCTTCAGTTCTTTGAATGGAAACTTTTGATCTACCATATTCACAGGAAGTGTTGTTTAAATGTAATTTATTCCATATTCGTATATAAATATTGCTTTTATGCGAGTTAAGTGATATACATATTTGTTTTTTAATTTGCAAAAATCGCAGACTTTTATTCGACGAAACTCCAGCTATTCTAGCTTTAAAGTAGAAAACGCAGTTCTTTGTGAAAGAGACAGAAAGAAGCAGTTTTCTTATGATCATTTCATTAGTAAATCTAACTAGCAATGGTTAGCACTAGTTTATTGCTTCTCTACATTTTACACATTTACACTGCAAGGTTATTATTTGAAACTAACCAGTTATATGATTTATGTCTGTACTTTAACATCTCCTTTCCTCACCATAATGTAAATGAAGTTAGCTAGTATTTAAACTAAAGTTTACGGAATTTAAGACAAAGAGTGTTTCTGGCCTGCACTTGCACGCTACACTTAGTTCCTTTCAGCTTTGATAGTTGTAATAATTTGGCTTTGCGTCATATCGCGATAACCGATACTTGAATTTGATACTGCGGTAGAGTAATTGAGCCAGCTTAGAGTATATTTAAATTATGTAGACTTTGGCTGCTATTTAACTTCTTAAAATGAGTTTGGCTTTTCCTTTAGTTGCATCACCACGAGCTGTGATTTTGTTAGTATAAGAACGTGCATTTATGGTCTAAGTTCGATTCAATAAAAAAGGTTGAGAAGCTTTCGTAAATACACTTCTTGTCCGTTAAGAGTTTCTGGACTAATAACTTTTACCAGATCAACAAAACTCTATAATATGCTCGCACTTATTTCAAGAACGATTACAAAACTCTGTGCTTTTTGACGCCTGATGAGACTGAAACTAAACAGATTATCGGATACCTTGAAAATGGTTTTGTAGGATAGCTATTACAACAGCTTCACATAATTTGCTTCGAAATACGTGTGGAACTTCTTTACCTTATTATTCAGTTCAAAGCGTACATATTATTTTTCATACAATTAGCAAAGGTGTCTTATGTATGAATTTTAGGCAATGGTTTCATCTAGTAACGATAACAACCTAAAAACTTTGAAAGTAAAATAAAAGGAAAAAAAAAAATCTGATATGGACACCCCCTGACTTCCTTGTATGGCCTGTTCAGTTATACACACGATTTTCTGCACTTCATTTAAACTCATTTTTCCGAATTATTATAACTTAATTAACCGATTTCTCAAGGTAAGTGTAAAATCATATAAAAAATTGAAAATTTTGAAATTAATTATCTCGGTCAATGTTTGTCGTACGGAGGTCAAACTTCTTGCAATTTTTTTAATAAAGAGTGCAAAAATTTAGACCGCATTAAAAGTTAGATTTCATTATTAGTCCAAAATTAATTTTATTAAAATTATGACACTGCCGATTTTCGTCATTTGAACACTTCTTTATCTTTGCTGCACTTCAAGCTTAATTAACCAATCCGTCAAGGCAAGTTAAAAATGACATACAAAATAGCAAACTTTGAAATTAAATATCCCGCTAGTTTCTATTACTGTAAGCAAGAATTTCTGGCACTCGAACTATATGGCTACCATAAACTATTACGAAAATAAAGGGCGGGTAAGGCTTTTAAGCCGAGTGAAAGGTTTTTATTATTTATACTTTTGATCTTGGCGTTTGCAATAAAAAACGAGATGCACAACTTAAGACAGTTTTATGTGATTTCAACGTTCTACGATTAATATTTTTGAGTTATGCGAGATACATACATACGCACGTACCTATGTGCGTACAGTCGTCAAGAAAAAAAAATCCTTCTAAAATCCATTTTAAAATCAGTTTGGGAAGAAAGTGCACTTTATTCTGTCCGTTTGTATAGACATCACGCAAAAAAGTCGTTCGAATGGGTTGGTGTGTGTGTGATTATGGCGAAGCCTTGAGGGCTATCTGCCTAAGGAAAGAGATGCCTTCGTAGAGGACTTTCTAGGTAACTGGCTCGTATACACGTTACACATGGGGAAAACCACTTGGCGAAATCGTTAGCTACATGGTTATTTCCGTGATATTCTCCGTGTGTAACGAGAATGCAAACAACTTCTTAAAAAATCCTCCACGAAGGCAATCTTTCTCTTATCCCACAATCTAATAACACGAGACCATGTGCAAAAAATTAAACAGCCCATGCAGACTGGCCGCCTTACGATCCCCGCCGATATGATGTCTGTCGTGTTTTGGACACGGAAAGGATTAATCATGTTTGATTGTCTTATTCACTGGAGCACTGGTGCGCACGAACAAGTTTTAAATTACGTTAAATAAGTTATGAAAGTCATGTAATTAACATTTTTAAATACAAAACAATTAATATTTATGCTGAAGGTAAAAATCGCAAAGACCTATTTTTACTTAAGTGAAAAGAGGCAGAAAACCCATATAGCTAGTTCTCTTTATACTTCTATATGAACAATAAATAAAATAACTACAAAGGATTAAATGTTATAAATTGTTGAAAAGCATTTGGTTTGCTGCCTTTTACCAAGGTAAGTAGCTGAATGAAGAACATTTTACAGGATGTTTTATTGAAATCATTTGTCATACATAAAAGTGTATGAAAATGGAATCTTCAGGAGCTTTAGATAAGTGGAAATTTTAGTAAGTTTTATTATTGCAACTTTAGAACTAGTTGAGTTTATCCAAATGATTTCAAGTTTTTCTTAATAGGCAAGCGGAAAAATTTGGAAAAAAATTTATCTTACTGAAAAGGATCGCGAGCGAAAAACGTTTAAGAAACCCTATTGTAAAAAGTATTCGAAAAATGAATATTGCTATACTTCTGATGCTAAAAATAATAAAATATATCCATTACCTTCGAAAACAATAAAATATTCAAATCATACACTATAAGCGTAAGTAAAACATATTCTGTTTGAAATATTCTTCTGCGAAATGAATAAGTACTTTGTCAATTTCCATAAGGATGAGCTTGCTTTTTCATATGTAAAAATTCGCTGTACCAATGAAGTCTGGTGTATATAATTTCGTTCATTAAATAGATTCCGCTTTATAAATGAAAATTGCAAAATCTATTCATTATATTATATGATAATAAATGAAAATTGTTTAAATTACTCTATATATTTTATTTGTTTCAGGGGTTTTGGAAAACAAGGATACCAGTGCCAAGGTAAGTAAGCAGCTACTTTTCTTTATTTACTAAAAATAATGTACCAACATTTGGCAGTGCTAAAAAAGTATTTTCATAATTTACCTTTCGAAAACCTTTCACATGATAGATATATTTTAGTGTCATAATTGGCATTTTGCTATACATGGAAGCAGAAAGATAATCTGCCAAGTTTTGTTTGATGTCGAAAAAGACCTAAAGTGTAATTAAACGCTGATGTAGCTATCAGGTGTAGCATAAAGCATTGACACGTAATTTAGCTATTCGTTTGAAAGAGATGATTCTAATGGCTTCTTTTAAAGCGTGTTATTCTCATTAGATTCGTACTGTGTTAAAGATTTGCATTCTAAACTCAAGTAAATTATAATATTTTGATATTATTATGCAGTAAAATTAGCAACAAATTATAATTGTATTTTAAAAATTTGAATTCTGTAAGCAAAAACCTAGTTTTAGAGACATAATATATTTTTGAGATTAACTGCGTGGAACAGTAACATTGCCTTATTCGTTAAGTAAAGGAAAATGCATACTAAAATAGTTTCATGCATTTTTCAAGTCTAGAGATAATTAAAATGCTGTAATATCTCGACTTATGCGAATTCGAAGTTTTACATGTTTACGCTTGTACTTAATTTGCATAAAAATTTTCTGTAATTCAGAAAATGCTAAGAAATAAAACATTACTCCGCCTATATATCAGAACTAGCCTTAAAGAAACAATAGGCTTCAAAACACGATAGTTCCTACTAAATGCTCTAAAACCCAGCACATCTATTAAAAACTACAATTACGTAATAATTACGTTCACTAACAATGTAGTTGTTCTTATGTTTACCTACAAAAGTGCTCTGACTGTCTTATATTTTTGTCCTGATAAAGCGAACAACGGTACTTGATATTTATTATTTATTATTTTTGCCTCCCCCCATATTATGGTTATGAGTGGAGTCTCAAAGGAGTCTATTAAATTTTACGAAACTATCGGTGCCGAAATAACTGCATTTTATGTAGCCCATTTATTTCAATATCATTTTGCATTAATATGTATGAAAACTACATTTTTTATTGCATACATATTTTCTAAACAAGTTCTATTTCGGCACATGGTTCTATTTAACTAAAACAGAGCCGACAAAATTAGACACGCATATCCGACATACGCAATTAGACATGCATATCCGACATACGCGCTCTCCGTTGTTCGTGTACATTTGGGGAATTACAATATTAATTAATTCCTTTGTTATTGAATGTGCATGTATATGTTGGGCAACCTATTGACTTGACCAAAAATGGATATCTAGCCTAGCTTTAAGGGATAATCATATTTTTTTAAACCTTCGGATCTGCTTTAAAATTCAACATTAATCTGCTGTTGTTACCAAATGGAAGCAATGATGACATATTATTTAAATTAGTTATTTTTCAGATTTTATATACCGGGTGGCCATAATTAAACTGACAGTGCTCACAGTGTTATGAAGCGCGATCGATCTGCGAGAATGACGCCACATTTTGTAGGAAGATTAAACGAGACGGGGGACGAAGGATTCCGCGAAAAAAAATTAGTTCCAAAAGTCACCGCTAGGGGAATATTTGGTGCTGTGTAATAGAAAATAGAGTGTTAACAAATGCAAATTAATACGGAATAAAATTACCTTTTATTATGGTTATGCCTTATGGAATATGGATATGCCTTACAGTACGGTATGGAAAATCTTACGAAAGATTATCGACTTCTATCCGTACAAGATCAGCTGTGTACAGGAGTTACTGTACCCCGACCATGATAAGCGATTGACTTTTGCTCTCACCTTCCTTGCCAGAATTGAGGTGGATGATGCCTGGCCGTGGAAAATCTTATGGGGAGACGAGGGACGCTTTTACCTGAAAGGAACTGTGAATACCCAGAACTGCCGAATTTAGGATGACAAATCACCACATGCAGTCACAGCAATTCCCTTACATTCACCAAAGGTAACTGTTTGGTGTGGGTTCACAGCGGAATTTATCGTAGGTCCATTTTTTTTTTTCTATAAGAACATTACCCCGACAGGACCGGAAACCTGTTCTGTTACCGGAGAGAAATATCGCCACATGTTGAAAGCTTTGTCATTCCGGCACTTCAGCAAAGACAATGCCTGGGGGAAATCATTTTCATGCAAGATGGAGTCCCTCCACACGTTGCTGTACGGCTGCAACAGATGCTACGACAGAAATTCACAACAGAAAGAGTCATTAGCCGTTACTTTCTAACTGCATGGCTAACTCGGTCGTCTGATCTTACCCCATGCGACTTCTGGCTATGGGGTTACATTAAGTCCAAGGTCTATCAAGGAGTGGTCCAGGACCTGGCTACGTTGAAGGATAACATATAACGGACTGTACGGGAGATTCCTGCAGACATGTTATTTTCTGCTGTTGTGCATACTGTGCACAGAATGCAATATCTGGTCCACAACAACAGCAGCCACATTGAACCTCATTTGAATGCAAAATAAAAGTTAATTTCCGTATTGATTTGCATTTGTTAACACTCTATTTTCTATTACACAGCGCCAAATATTCCCCTAGCGGTGACTTTTGGAACTAATTTTTTTTTTCGCGGAATCCTTTGTCTCCCGTCTTGTTTAATCTTCCTACAAAATGTGGCGTCATTCTTGCAAATAGATCGCGCTACAGAACACTGTGAGCACTGTCAGTTTAATTATGGCCACCCGTTATATCTCTATTTACACCAGTAAAGTCTAGTAATTTATTTGATATTATTTATCATTTACGGTAAATATTTTATATGTTTAGGTATTATTTATAGTTTTCATGACATAGAAATCTCAATAATAAAAAAACACGTAACGTAAATATTCAAAACAATAATTAGTAGTTATTGAATTACATGATAAAGCTGAAGTCTTAAGATCGCATGTTAAATCAAAATTTGAAGGACAAATCGTTTTATGTTTGAAAATATATTTCTTCTCACTTTTTCATTATTTTTCAAACTTAAAATGAATGTAATAAAATATCCAAGTGTTAAACAAGATTTAATTAAATTTTTTTTTTTTTTTTTTTTTTTTTTTTTATAAAACTTGGCCATCGATGAAATTTTAATAAGTTAAAAACAACAGCTTTGACCCCTACTACACATAGGATTTAATTTTAAATCTGCAACCAAGCGTTCAAATTCTTCTTAAAAAAGCAGTCATCACAAAATCATTCATTATTAATTTAAAAATTTTTAAAACTTGTTGTATTATATTAATTTATGAAAATAAAACTCAGAAATCAAACCGATGAAAATGCTATGCAGTTGATTCTTAACTTAATTACGTAATATGTAAAAATTTCCTATTTTGAAAAGTTAGTTAAATAATAATTACATTTTAACAAAGAAATGTAGCGTAAATATATTGAAGTGAATAGATATTATGTTAAACAGTGACACTGTAATTTGTTAAGTGTTTGCAATAAATACTCTGTTAATCGAAAATTAGGTTTTCTATTGAAAGCAACAGTGGTTAAATATATCTATGCAAATCTAATCTCAGTTCAAAATCAGAAATTTAATTAATTTTTTTTAAGATTGAAAAGAAATGAAAAGAAAACAGATGTGGACAGATCAAAAATAAATTTTAATCTCTTTTCAACTAATGCTGCCTTTTTTTTTAATATGTAACCGCAACCCGTATAAAATAGTGTTTATATTACTGCAAAACATCGTGTTATGCAAAACTCTTAGCATGAGAGTAAAATATAACGCTAATTTCTGTAAGTCGATTAAAATATAACGCTAATTTCTGTAAGTCGATTAAAATATAACGCTAATTTCCGTAAGTCGATTAAAAGTACACTACATTTGCTTTTATCTGTATAAAAATATTTACAAGTATTAGACATTGATAGAAAGTTATTCTTATATGCTAACGTTGCTCATGCCTCTTAATAATGCTTTTCTAATTGGTTCTTATTTTAATACAACACAAATCCTTTTTAAAAAAAAAAACAAAACAAAAAAAAAAAAAAAAAAAAAAAAAAAAAAAAAAAAAAAAACAAAAAAAAAAAAAAAAAAAAAAAATTTAAAAAAAAAAAAAAAAAAAAAAAAAAAAAAAAAAAAAAAAAAAAAAAAAAAAAAAAAATAAAAGAAAAAAAAAAAAAAAAAAAAAAAAAAAAAAAAAAAAAACAAAAAAAAAAAAAAAAAAAAAAAAAAAAAATAAAAAAAAAAAAAAAAAAAAAAAAAAAAAAAAAAAAAAAAAAAAAAAAAAAAAAAAAAAAAAAAAAAAAAAAAAAAAAAAAAAAAAAAAAAAAAAAAAAAAAAATTTTTTTAAACGAAACTTTGCCAGTGATTTGTCATGTTAACGGGATGTTTATTATTAAATTGTTATTATTCTTAGAATTATGTTAGGATGTTTAGGATTAGTATGTTTATTATTTTTAGAAATTTTGTTTACGAATATTAGAATAGTTCAACTATGGTAAACGCAACCTTAGCTGACACTTTGCCAAAACACTTAATATATTTACATTAAAGTGCCACTGAATTAGGGATAGCTAATCAATAACGAGTTGGGTCTCCTCTGGCCTTTATAATATCTGCCAAACTATGAAGCATAGATTGAATAGTTTCTGGAAGTATTCTACGGGAATGGCTTGCCAAACATCGGATAGAGCTGTCTATAATTTAGGAAGAGTCGCTAGTGTTGTGTGATGAGGTTTCAAACCTTTCTTCAAAACGTTCGAAAGATGCTCAATAGAATTCATGTAGCCAGTTTATGACAGAGAAGTCAGAAGAATGCTCATCCAACCAGGCAGTAGCCAACCGGGACCTGTGAGAGGTGCAGTTATCTTGCTGGGATACTCCATTTCCGTTTGAACGACAGAACAAGATAAATGGATGGAGATGATCGCCCAGCAATCTACGTACCGAATCATATTGAGGGAGATTTGTACAAGTACCGAAGATCCCAAGAACTGCCAAGAGAAAACATCCCAAATCATGA